TTTTTTTGTGTGTGTTGTTGTTGTTGCTGTTATTTTTGATATTCATTTCATTTACTTTCCTTTTTTTTTTTTTTAATCACACACACACACAGGATATAGACGACCACTATCACCCACACACACCTTCTTCAACACAGTCTTGCAGAGCGTCGAAAAGACACTGTGCGTGCACACCCATTGCAAAAGAAAGATATGTAAGAGAAAGAAGTCCAGAGAGAAACTGCAACAAGAGAACAGGCACTAAAAACCTGATTGTGGCTGTTTTTATTCTTTTTGTTTTTCTTTTGCTGTATCATTTCTCTCTCTTTTTATTTTTTCTTTTATTATTTTATAGTTCCTTTTGTCTGAGCTCTTCCTTTTTGCACAACCTTGTTCTTTTTTTTTTTTTTTCCCCTCCTCCCATCCCTCACCAAACTCACCGTTATTAACAGTTTATCCGTTAAGAGACCTGCATCTTGTTTTACAGTCACGAAAAGAGTGAGTGGACGCACAGTGCTCATACCACCAGTGTTCCCTTTGTGAGGTTAAATTTTAATTTCCACAGCCAGCAAAACACGCTGTTAAACACAGACACATATGTAGATTGCATTGTCTATCTTCTTCTCTTTTGTATTTTTCCTTTTTTTTTTTCTTTTCCGAACCCTCAGCATAAAAAGAAGTAACGTGTGACTATGATGGATTGCAAGGTGCTCCGAGGCTAAGAACCGTGTAATTGAATTCACTCGTTATTAATAGGGTGTATATTACTTTATATTTACTTTGAGGGGTTTTTTTTTTTTTTTTCCTTCACCTCATTCCCCCTCTATTTCCGTTTTTTCTTTCATTTTTCTAGCCATGAGAGTTGGCCTTCCCACACACCACCCCATTCATCCATAGCCATCCCCATCACCCCTTCTCTTAAATCTCGGGAAGATACATCACAAGTAATATGTGTCCAACAAATTTTGATTTGTTTTTTTGAGGGGGGTTTTGTTGTTGTTTTTTTCAAGCTTCCCTGGACGTATCTCTATGCCGTTGTTGTTGTTGCTATTCTTGCTGGGCTCATATTCCCCAACCCACACACACACAGACAGACAGACAGACAGACAGACCTACACACACACATACACAGAAAATTGTCCTCTCATTTTATTATTATTATTATTATTATTATTATTATTATTATTCACTTTATTGTTCATTATCGAATCTTGCTGTGATTGGGCAATTGCATGGCCTTTTACAAGACTTACTATTCTGTTTTGTTTCCATTCAATACACCGTTAGGCTGAGATGCCTTTTTCGCTGCTGCCAAACGCGCTGCCTGAGTTTCCTTCCAGAAGGTATAGGAACCAAGTGAACCGCAGAGTGCACCGCAGAAGTATTGTAAGGTCTTGTTGGGATTATACCATGGGACCCACTGGTAGTACACAATCATATCACAAATGTAGCGAGTGAGTGAAATAATCTCTGCCTTGAGAAATTCTGAACGTTCCTTTGGGGTTCGTTTCTTCCATTGGGGTGAAGTTAATGCAGACTTCATCCGTAAAAGTTCATGTAAAAAGCCACAGGTCAAAGAAAGTGATTTAAAAAACCAATAACCGAGGCTTAACCGGGTTCGGTTCCAATGGTGCATACAAACCATTTGGTAGTAGTTAAGATCTCCAAAAACTTGTTCCAGTGAACGGAAGAAGAAGGACCCTATAAGAAGTAACCAAGGTAAAACTGGACCCTCTCTCTTTTTATAAACATCAACGGCGTTCATAAATGATGTGAGGTACCGAAAGTGATTGATCAACATGCGGCAGTTAACGACGGCACGCGCAAACTGAGCATAGTTCTCACGCGTCTCCTCGCAACTGCCGTGAATTGAGACTAGGCGAGACATGCCTAACATGGCCTTTAATGCTATATCAATCCCTGTTCCCTTCTTCACATAGGCATCTACTGATTCACAAAATGGAACAACCACATCTCCTCCTCCCATCTTTTTTTTTTTTTATGTCTCTACTACTTTTTTCGTTTTTTTTTTTTTTTTTACGCCGTCCTTTGTGTTCCTCTAAATGATTTCAAGGACAGCAACAATAAAAATAGAAACAATAAAAATAAATAAAAAACAAGAATAATTATTATTATGATTGTTAAAGTAATAAAGAAAACAAAACCGAAAGGATATAGAAATAATTTTTAAAAAACAAATGATAGAAAGGGTAAATCACCTTAAAGTGTTATGTTTTTTTTCTTTTTCGATATGGCAAGAATGCATGGGGAGGGGAACAAATAAAGAAACGCTGAAATACTTGGATGTACAGTCGTTATTTTTCCTAAAAGTAGAACCAGGCACATACACACATACACACACATATATATATATATATAGCAAGAAGAAAAAGTTAAAAAGAGCAAAATGAGAAATAAAGAAAAAAAAAAAATTTTTTTTTTTTTCGCAACTACGACCGTAACTAGAAAAGATATGCTTTGTCTAGATCATGACCTAACTCCTTCCTTTGAGGCCATATTTCCCAAAAGTTCTTGATTTGCTTCTTTTTCATCCATAGTAAAGAGATGAACCTGGCCCGCTTTCTTTTCCTCATCGGCGTGATGCTCTTTATCAGAGAGTGGTGTCATAATAACACTATGGATCTCATGGGTGGCTTGAGCCGTTGCCGAATTAGCGGCTGTAACTCCAAATGTATAACTGCCATTGAGTGGAGGTGCAGGTGTGGAAGCGCAGAAAATCGCACGAACATAATCTGACGGTTGTGGTTCGTCATTTGGATGATAAACGTACAGCACATCCATACTATTGCTATTATAACGAATGGTAATCGTAAGGTGAAGTTCACCCAATGCCGGAACACGACAATACCCGTGACGCTGTTGCTGTATCGATTCAACGTCAAAATCAATATCCCCATTACTAGCGAGGAGAGAAATTTCGTCAGAGTGGGACAACAACACACCAATACCAAAAAAACGTCGGGCAAACCCAAATAATCGAGTATCAGCACTACTAGAAAAATTTTCTGCCGTGGTATACCAAATACCCATACCACCTTCTTTCGTTCCAGAGAACATGGGAGAACTTCGTTTTCGCATTTGCAAAGTAACATTCAATTCAAAAGCCTCCATATGATTTGAATGTCGATTCCATAGGTATCCCTTAGCATTCGGTGCACTTTCCGTCAGTCGAACGTAGTTATCTGTTACAACTGTATTTAATCCAAAAGTCCAAAAACGCATTCCATTTTCCCAGTAATTCTGTAACATGGGAGGAAATACGGAATGAACTTGTATATGATCTGCACCGATTACTATGTGTGCTGCTATCAGCAACAGCAATAGAAAGAAATAAACAAAAAAAGTTAATCCCTTCATCTGATCAAAGATCTTCAAGAGTATACACACAATAAAAGAAAGGAGATCAAGAAGAAAGAATAGAAAAGCAAAAGAAAAAAAAAAAAATGATAAAAATAAAAACAAGAATAGTCTGTACGTCATTAAGAAAAGAAAAAAAAAAATGACATCATTCCAGTAACAATATCCAGAAGGAGAAAACAAAGCAAAAACAAAAAAAAAAAACATCAACACTATCTGTTTATCTTAGATAGATAGATAGCAGAACCTGTGGATGTGTGCTTGTATGCGTGCGAAGGTAGGGAGGAGGAGGAGTGGGAGGAGGAAGGGAAAAAAAAAAAATTTCTGTTAATCCGAAGCAAAATGACTCTCAGCACCAAAGACATCAAGAGTGAAAGAAAGACACCAAAAGAAGCAAAAAGAAAAAGAACATCAATATAGAAAAATATTCTTCCTCCCATCCCTACCCACCACCACTACCACAACAACAATAATAATAACAACACACACACACACACACACACACAAAGACCATCATCTTTAAGCAAGATGTGTGTTACCGGTTGAATGAGAGAGGTTATTCTTCACTCCACGTAGAGGATTCCATTTCATCCTGCCTTGTGTCTTCGACGCCTATCATAAGTTGCGGTGCCTCACTTTCGTCCACCTCTCGTGGGTTGAAGTCGGTATCGATATCGGCGCAGTTCTCAATACTGTAGTAGAGCTTTGCCTTGAGCACCTCGAGGGATGAGTAGTCTGGAAGCTCGAGGGCGAAGAAGCAGGTGGCGGCGCGGGGGAGGACGCCGTCGGGGTCTCCGGTCGTGGCCAGCGGGAGAATGCGCAGCCGCACGGGGAGCCGATCGCGGCCCGAGACGAAGCGGAGGAAAAGCCGCCGCTGCAGGGCGCTGGCGTCCTCGAGGGCCTGCCAGAGAAATAAGACGCGGCGGTCGTCGGCGGCGAGACCCTCGCAGACGGCCCCGTCCCGCAGCTCCGCGACGGCGTAGTCCGGCCGGCCGCACACCCGCAGCTCCAACTCGGCCGGGCCCAACAGACACAACACCGCCGCCGGCAGAACACTCAACAGACCCTCCCGCATCTTCCGCAGCTGCACAAGAGACTCCTCCAGCCGCGCGGTGGAGAGCGCATTCGCGTAACTCTCGCACCGCTCCAGCGTCACTCGAATAGAACCTCCACCGGGGATCAACTCCTTCACAGAGCCATCGCTCAGTCGCGTAGTAAAGGTTTCAGAGTCAAAAACATCGTCAAACATGTCATCAGAACCTACTTGATTTTTTAAACCACGAAATTCCCGAATACACTGTAAACAAATACGATCCACATCATCAAGATCAGATTCCATAATAGGGTAAAAACAGAGAAATTTCCAAACAAGTGGAGGAAGGAAAAGTCCCAAAGGTTCACTACTTCGAAGAGCTCCTCCCATTAATTGACCAATGAAAACAAAAGCTGAAAGTTCAGCCGCACTCGTAGCAGATGGAGCAGGAACAAAGGCATCACGACATGTTCCTATATTATGCACATTATTTGCTGTTGGAACAAAAAAAGGTAATGCAGTACTCATTAACTCTCGACACATTTCACCAATATGTTCTCGAAAAGGTCCTCCCACATCTTCTGATCCTTCACCTAGAAATAAAACACTCCAAAATCTTTTATTTGTTCGAAAAATACGTGGATGTTGATCTGCTATTAATGAAAATGTTTGACCAAATACTGAAGACATCCATGAACCTTTATTTGAATGAGCTTTCATTCGATTTATAGATACACGAAAGTGTTCCGATCGAACATTTGTCTCACGAAGAATATCATCCACCATTTCATTACGAAAAGATGGAGATAATATACTACGACATGATAAAAATAATTTCGTAGATATATTTAAATTTTGTGTATCAAGATTTAAAAATGGTATAACAGTACGAACTACACGAGAAAATGAAATAAGAACCTTATATAATTTCCAAGCTTTTTCTATAGGAATAGAAGTTTTTTGAAATATTTCTTTACATATTTCTTCCGTGAGTTGAGCAAAATCCTTATTTTGATTTTTACAATACTCTTGTACAACATCTACTAAAACAGAATAAGGTTTTAATATTTCTTGTACCGTTAGTAAATCGGTTGATAACCACATATTTTTTAATTCTCGAAGTCTTAAAAGTGTCGTAGATGGTTGAAGTGTTGAATAAAATGCATCTATTCGTTCATTCCAAGAATCAGGAACTCCTAAAGCACAAAATCCTTCTGGTTTATACTTAAAACTACTTGAACCAAAATTAAATAATACCTCATTCCCGGAACGAAATGAAATAGCCGGTTCATAAGAAATTGTTATGGGTAAATTTGTAAAGGTACTATCACCTAGTGTCGTATCGCATAAAAGTCTACCATTACAAAGGAACATCATTTTTCGCTCTACAAGATCTAATGCACATCCAATCACATCTCCTACCACCCATCGTCGTGATGCGGTGAGGGGTTCAGGTTTTCCATCATGCCATTTCATTCGCCGAAAAAGATCCACCGACCAAGAGGTAGGTGTATCGCCAACCGTTGCCTCTTTAGAATCTTTAGATGAACACCAACCAATCTGCATTAATCCTTGAGAACGTAGGGTAACTTCATAATACCATTTTCCACCAGAAACTTGACAATTCGCTCGTAGTGTGGCAAAACTAGTTCCAGTATTTCGTACAACCAGTAAATTTACTTGTACACCTGGAGTAGAATGAAGTGAAACATTTGGTGGACCAAAACGTTCGGTTGAACCTTCAAAAGGATTTGCTTCTTCTTCACAAAAAGGTGGTAATGGGGTACGTCCAGCGGATACAATATAAGTTGCCAAATCATGGAAAGCACGAATTTGATTATATGGAATAAGTGTTCCAAGTCTTAAATTTGCCGGATCGAGAGGAAAACAATTTCTAGGAGGTTCATATTCAAAGTGAGCTCCACCAAAGTTTATAGTAATACCTTCTTCTTCTTCAAGCATAAAAAAAGGATGATAAGAAACTTCTTGTTCATCTTGAAGATTAGCCCCAGCAGCGGAAACGGCTTCAGACTCATTTGTTCCAAAACGAAAAAATACACCGGTATCATACCCATTCACAATAAATGAACAAGTCTTTTGAATACCATCCATTACAACTCCAACATAATCTTTCGCTTTCCAAATCCGACGTGGTGGTACAGAAATTTCCTTTACACCATGATAAACACCTGTTTTTCCATTAAATGCCACAAAAGTCTCGAGGGAGGGAACTTCTGACCAGTGTTGAGCCCATGATGGAATCACACCAATGAAGGCATCCCCACTTGCCATCATGCGAACTTCAAAATACCATCTACCAGAACCTAATGGGACATCCCCAATCACAGAACTCCCCGTCCGTTCACTCCAAACTAAGATGGTGCGGTTAGGATTAACACCCACACGAAGACTTTCAGGGTGAAGGTCTTTTTCAACCGTCACTCGTAATCCTTCTCGTTGTTTATATAAATTACGTTGTTCCATCCTCTTTTGTAAAAAAGAATCGGTATCGGTCACACCATCATAATTTCCATAACGAAGGGATTTTTGTCCATCTCCAATAGCTTGCCAACAATGTTCGGCATCTTTAAGTGCAACGTAGAATTCTGAAACCACTTGAACAAAACGACTTTGTAAATGTTGAGATCCTAATGTTCTTCGAAATAAACGTTCAGACATTCGACGAAGATCATGCATACGAGCTAAATGTTGCATAGGTTCTGTATATTCAGACATGTGAAGAAGAATATCTGTCATACAAGAAAGAATAAGACAACGAGTAATTCCAACATTCATACGACTTGCATTTGCCAATCCATCTAGACAATCATTTGTATTTAATATATTCATACCGGATACTCCTTTTGTAATAACAGAACATACCATTGTACGAAGAAGATGAGCGGCAAATCGTGGAACAGCTGTATCGTATAAAACTATAATTTTATATCCCCATTGGGGAGTAGAAGTATCTAAACGAACATCAAAAAAGAAACGTGGTGCACGAATACAAATAGAATTTAATGCATATCCAGGAGCTTGTGTAATAACACTAGAAAGTGCATGATCGGCATAAAATGTAACTAACATACTACTGGAAGAACATCGAGTATCAAAATGAACTTCATATGATCGTCTTCCTGGTACGTAAACTTCATGCGCACTGGCCAAAGTAGATTTAAAAGGATGTGGAGATTCAAAAATAAGCATTTTTTGTTCTCGTTGAACCATTTCTACAAGTTCTTCTTTTATATAATTTACAATAGTAGCATTTTCATTTTTAATAAGATGTTCTGTTGTAGAAATAAGAGATTGTAAAAGATCTGTATCATTAGAATTGATAGCAAATCGAACCATTTTATGTACTTGTTCACGTCCAAGACAAACTTCAAGATCCGATGTAAGTCGCATCATATGTGTTAATATAGCTACAGCATAATAACACGCCAATTGTCTATCCAATTTTGGAATAATTGATAAAAGTTGTTCTCTTCGTTGATCTTTCCTTCTACGCCATAGTGTAATAAAATTACTAAATCCTTTTAATGTATCAATAGCAAATATACCAGTTTCATCATTTTGAGTTGTAAAATCAATTTCTTGTTGACATACATGATTAGATCTTCCTCCCTCACCATCCAGTTGCTCAAACCAGGTGACAGGCCCTACTGAATTTACACTTGCCTTCAACCATCCATCTGTGGAGATGGCTTTAATCGTATCACTCATACACTCTAATGTGATGGAGTGATAGACAAAAGATGTGGAGTCTTCCATGGAGACAAAACGAGTAACTTCTTCTCTTGTTAACGCAACATCCATAATTCGAATACCTTTTATCCCTCCATTAAGACGCATCTCTTCATTCTCTGGACATCCACCAAGATATAATATATTTTCAAATAAAAGACCTTTATAAGAAAAATTCATTTCAGATTGAAGAATACCAGCTTTGTAAAGATAAAATTTATTTGTATCTTGTACCATGGTTAAATGAATCCAACGTAAAGAATCTGTATATTCAATAGGAACCTTACAAAGAGATGTGGTATCATCTCCAACTTTTTCCCATCCACAATGAAATGCAGAACCTTGAATACGTGCAACAAATTGCCAATCTTCTGTAGAAGTTTTTTGATGAAAAATTATTTGGGTTATGGTAACATCAAAAAGATATAAATACATATCCATAGTAAATATATTACCTAAAGGACGTTCACCTGTTATAGATACATAACCTCCAAGAAAACGAATTCCATCATTTAATGGATCACTACGATCTACAGAAATATCATCATCTATTTCATCATCACTTTCAGCAGGAAATAAAACATGAATATCATATTCAGCTGTATCAATTTCTCCCTCATCACTACTTATATCTTCATCCTCACTAGATGGAAAAGTTGTACGTCGTTGCGTTGATATAAAATCTCCATGATGATCCCCAAGTAGTTGAAGAGCTGCTTGTAAATCATTATTTGTCTCATCAAGAGCAAGAAAACAAAGATCAAGATTATAACCTCGCATAGATAATTCTTGTGCTAAACGAGTTCGTGTCTCTGCATCATCATTATGAGATTTCCCTGAAGTATTGGTAAGTGTATTACCATTACCTAAACTAATATTCTCACCTAATACTTTCACTAAAAGAGAATATTCAATTACTAATCGATCTTGAACCACAGTTTGTTGTTCATCTGATGGAATTTCACCATTATCATACAGTTTAGCTAACAAGGTAAGAAATTCTTTAGGTATTAAAAGTAATCCTTTTTCTACACATCGCCATACAATGGCAAGAGATCTATACTTTAAAGAACTTCCGGTTATCCCATTATCCATAGCATGTTCACTCCACATTTGTCGTGCTAATTGAAGCACTTGATGCATTTGAGTATTATGTAAATTATTATCTTTCTGAGGGAATGTAGATGCCTCTTCTCCTATTGTTATCTCAGCTTGTCGTAGAGAAACGGTAAAATGTTTTTCATCATTTTCAATAACATCACATGTTTCATCATCCAAAGAGTAATCTACTAACGTTACGGCTACAGTTGCGTGTTTTGATTTTCGAACCATAATACGATCCCCAGGAACAGCCAATCGAGGTCCACCAAAGAGAATACGTAGTGCTAATGATGTATTCGTTCTATTACTATGAATCCCTTCAAGACTTTGTATAATCCATGAATGTAATTCCCCTCTCCAACGATGGGTTAAACTTTCATCACTATTCATATGTTGAAGTAAAGCTAAAGCTGTCCAAGCTTCAAGAGCGGTAGGAGATTCACATAAAGTGATGGATCCCTGAGAGACAACCCATTCCAGTTCTCTTGCAAGGGTCAGTAATGTATCCAGAAAACCTGGAATATTATTATCTTCTGTAATAGCAGAAGGTTCCGATAAATTCATAAAGGCAAACCATGCCGTAATAAGAGCACATCGAACTTTGGAATTACATGTATAACTTCGAAAAGCGTAATAACTTCCCCTCTGTAAGGTTCTTACAACACGTTGTACAGATGAATTAAGGGTATCATCACGAGCGGAAACAAGTACCTTTGCAAGGGTTGTTAAATGTGAACAAAGAGTAATAATAAACATTTCAGAATTAGGAAAAGGAAGTGTACGTTCCATTTCCGTACAAATACACTCAAAACATTCTTCTAGAGTGGTTCGTAATCCTTTAAGTGTATCTGAATGATTATTATTATTATTATTATTATTATTATTATTATTATTATCATTATCATTATTATTGTTATTATTAGATCCCTTGCCTGATTCTATAAACCCAAGCGCTGCTCGAATAGAAAATATACGAAATACATCCCATGCATTTTCCCCTAAACATCTTCTTGGCGTTTTAAATCCTGGTACCTTATCAAACATAAATCGTTCTGCCCCAAAGTTTACCTTTACTAAACCTTTTCCAGACATTCCAATGAGTGGATATAATTTTTGTTGTGTTACATGTAAAGTGGTAACAAGATCTTTTCCATTTTTAATCCAACAAATTTCTTTTGTCTTTGTATTTAATCCACACCCGACCACATCTCCAATACTGAAGGTAAATCCTGTTAATCGACCAATACTATTTCCCTCATAAATCATTCCCTCCTCTGTGTGAAGGGCGTAGGACTCGGCATCACATCCCGGTAAACGTGAAACCCCGTAATCGGAGGGACCTGCCCCAATACAACAACTCCCACCAGGGCCAAGATCTATTATTAACACTTCAAAGTAATAAAAGAAATTCTTACGGCTCATAGACCACTCACAGGGAGCCACACATGTGCCTCTTCCGCCAAGGCCTTTTATTGTGTGTCCAGATCGTCCAATCACAAGTGTGGGGGCCGCCCCACTAGCAGAGAGAACTGTATTTCGTAAAGTTCCAGACATATTTGCATTAAATCGTGGAAATCCATTATCTTTTCGTTTCTCAAATTTCCATAAAGAACAAAGGGTAGAGGCTATATCACCTTTTATTCTTCGAAAATCCATTACTCGAAGTTCAGATGTTAATAAAGATAATAATAACTCTGCCCACATATCAGACATTTGATTTTTAACATTTATAGAAACAAGTTCTAAAATATGAAAAAAAGCTCCATGAAGTCGAAGAAAATCTTCCTTTGAACAACATTGTACATCATCTGCGTAATACCATCCAGTAAAAGCTTTTACTAAAACAGGAAGAACAATATGTGCAAGTTTATCACTTACTCTTGCTTCTTCAAGTAATTGTTTTAATAACATCATTCCAGATAATCTGTATTGTGCTCTTTGTGTTTGTTGAATAACAAGACGATCAATATTATCACGATCCATATCTTTTTCTTGTAGAAATTGTACTATAAGAGAACCAAGATCCCCATTTTCCATTTCTCGTTGTTGAGGTAATTTAGTTTTTAATATTCGAAGTGTTTTCCAAGTTTGAAAAAATTGTTTCCATTTCCGTTGTGGACTTGCATCTTTTAAAGAATATTTAACACGAGGAAGAGATTCTGTTCTTGTTCCACAAATAGGTTCAAAACGAGCTAAAAATAAAGCTCGATGTTCTAAAATATCAAGATATTCTACACTTTCTTGTCGTTTAGAAAGTACCATAGATCGCATATTATGAACATAACGATACATTGGGGTAAGTGTTTGTTTCGTTACTTGTTTTAACGCATCTGTAGGAATAAGTAATGCACAAAAAGATGTCATTAAAAGTCGTTCTAACTTTACCAATCGATCATCCCTAATCACCGGTAATGCTCCCACATCTTCACGGTGTAATTCATCCACTAATTTTGAAATATAACCTACACCTTGTTGTAAATTCTTTATGATAGCATCTCGCTCTGATCCAGACTTACGAACTCCACCGCATAGTAAAGGTAAATATTTAGCTTCTATTTGAGAAGTAACGACATCTGAAGATATTAATAAGGAACAACCTATACGACACAATGCGGATGTAAGTGCTACTCCAAGATCATAGGAAAGTTTTGCATTTTGTGGAAGTGTATCGGTAAGAGAAAATAAGGCTTCACGACATCCTTTAATATAAGGAACACAAGCTCCTTGTAAGTTTGTCGGTAATAATGGAAGCGCTACTGTAAAGGATGGTAAAAGAGAACCCACCACACTTGATTCCATACAATGAATAAATTCCATTTGATAAAGTTCAGGTTTTTTTCGAAGAGATTTGGCAAATATTTCTATAATTTTTTCACCTGTTCGCAAAAGTAATTTTGCATACGTTATTGCAAATCCACCACATTCACCTTGAGGTTTTTCTACTACTTTTGCCAGTAGAATTTCTTGAAATACCTCTAAACAATAACTTGTTCGTTTCACAGCTTCTATAGATTTATGATGTCCAGTAATCCATCGTTCCACTTGAAATATTTCCTCTGACATGAGAGAAATACAGAAAAGATGTGCATTTTCTGTATTTGTAATTAAAATATTGGATGCTAATAAAGAACCATAATAATCCAGTAAAGATCGAAATAACATATCTTCTTTTTCTGTTAATCGACCTCGACCGGCTTGATTTTTTATAAAACCAAGACGACTTTTTTCTGATAATAAACAACGACATGTCATGGAAAGAAGTCCAGTATCATAAAAAGTTTCTTGAAAAGCCAGACGTAATAATTCTAATCTTGCATTTGGAGTTTCACTACTACACTCTTGTGCGGCTTTTATAAGACTTTGAGCATCTGGAAATAAATCTCCAATTTCTTTTTTTAATCCTTCATGTTGATTTTCAACACGACATAATAAATTTGCATGTAATAAAGCGCATAAATTTTTTGTATAGTCATGATTTTTTTGATCTAATTGAACATTACAAATATGTCGTAGTAATCCTGAAAGAAGTCTATCAGATGTATCCACCACTAATCTAGGTACTTGAACAGACCATGATAATTGATCTACCAAACACCTTTCTGCACCTACTAAACGTTTAGCATAAGCTGCACATTGTGTTAATAAATCTTTTTCACATTCCCATATACAATTGTATGAATCTTTTTGTAAAAAAGGAAAATAATGTTGTTGATGTAATTCCCATATAAGTAAACGTTTAGGTTTATCAGATGCTAAAGCATAACAAACTATAGAATGTCGTAAAGCATTATATCCAAGTCCTTTAATAGGTGCCCGTGCAGGAAGTTCAACTCTTGCTTGAAATACTAATTTAAAATCGCTTGTTGTATATTCACATATAGTAAGAGAAGGACCACTAGTAGGAATACCAAGAGCAATATATCCTGGACAACTTGATAGAAAAATACTATCAGAAGTTTCACGTAATGCAATAGGAGCAAAATCATCAATACATCGTACTATACTTGGTGAAATAACTGGAAAATCATCTACGGATAACCATGTTGCTTGTCCATTATGTAAAAGAGCATGAGAAGCATTTGGTGCATAATCTGAAATTACATCACCTTCACTTTCATCAAGAGGGTAATAACCAGAAAGTGATGTTTCCATATTAGTAAGAGAACGTTTACTATCTCTAAAAAGTTGAGCAGGTGTACGAATACAATTCCATATTCTAACTTCAGCTAAACATCCTACAAAACTTTTTCCTAACGAACATTCAACATCTATTATTGCTTCAGGAGAAACGAGAGCTGGAGCCTGGGCAACAATAGAATTATTAATCCATAAATCCCATGAATTTCCTTTAAATATAAGAGCTACATGCCACCAACGACGACAAAATGATAATTTTCCAGGTACAATATAAGAAACAAATGAAGCTCCAAGATGAGGAGTTCTAGATCCACCTCTCCATAAAATACCTTCTGAAGTAGGTTCAATTTCAATTAAAATTTCATCTATATTTTTATCTCCTATTGAAATAATAACTTGATCATCTGATGTACTACATGGATAAACCCACATTTCTACTGTAAAGGGATGAAAATTATCTTTTAATGTAACTCGTCCAACAGAAATACTATTACCTTTAGTAAAATAATAACATTTCTTTTTTGTATTCCATAAACTTGGACCTCTTTTAAGAGAATTATTAGAGTTTACATAAAAATTATTTTTTTCCTTTACAAAAATAGAATCAATACTTTTTTGTAATAAATAACATTTACTGTTCGATATTCTTGAAGATTCACTGCATACAAGACAAGTAAGGATAGTACCAGATATATCAAAAATAACTTCATGTGTACCTGCGGTATTTTCAGTTAAATGAAATACAATTAATGTCGTAGCTAAAGGTTTACCAGATCCACAATTATATTTTTGAATAGAATAAGAAACAGTTCCAACAGAAGATGATGCATTTCTAGCAACAAAAACTATTTTTCCATCACAAAAAATTATTTTGGAACTTTTTCCAAAATGAAGATCAAATTCTGTATTCATTTTAAAACGAGTTCCCATCATTCCTAATTGATCAAGTACACATCCTCTACTCCCACTACATACAACTAGTTTATCATCACCAGGAAAACAATATATATGTTCCAAATTAACAGAAAATGGTAACTCACAAATTCTTGTAAGAAAACTATCTGTTTTTGCTTTTACATAATTAACACGATGTTCCAATGGAGGAGGAGAATATACCCCTTCTAATCTTTCTTTTATAGATCTTTGTAAAAGACAATTTACAAGAGCACTTAACTTTCCACAACGTAATGAAAGAGAAAACTCAAGACAAAAAAGTCTTTTTTGTTGTTCTTTTGTTAAGACATCAAATCCCACTTGAGATTTAAACATTTGTATTAGATCAACAGATGAACTAATATCATTTGGAGAACAATCTGTTCTTAATATCATATCTTCAGTACCATTAATAAGAGCATCACAAAAAGCACCAGTGTCAGGACAGACAAGAGTTCCTAAAAGCACCAAAGTTTGAAGACAACTTGGTTTACTTATTTCTTGTTGTACGGTTAAAGCAAATGACTCAATAGCTCCTCCGAGTCTTTCACGAATAAGTTCTGATGCAGCAAGAGAACATTTTAATCTTTCTGAACGAGCAGCATCTACTTCTTCTAGATTACTACTCCTTTGCTCAGCATCGTATTTGGAATATTTTATTAATAACTGTACGTAGCGTGTAACATAGGAAGGTTCACAAGAAAGTAAGGGAACTTCAACTTCACTAAGAGAAACATAAGTATCAGATGGAAACTCTTTTTTTCGACTTAAATCAGCATCTAATATATCAGCTATACCAAGAAGTCCCCAATCACCTAAATCCTCTGTCATTACTGAACTATCCAAAAATAAAAAGAAAAACAAGATAAAAGAAAACCAATAAAGAAAAAAAAAAAA